TTTGAATTTCAACAAAATATTTCAAAATCCAGAATTTGAATTCAAACAAAATATTTCTACATTCAGAATTTGAAATTCAACAAAATATTTCTACATTCAGAATTTGAAATTCAACAAAATATTTCTACGTTCAGAATTTGAATTTCAACAAAATATTTCTACGTTCAGAATATGAATTTCAACAAAATATTTCAAAATCCAGAATTTGAATTCAAACAAAATATTTCTACATTCAGAATTTGAAATTCAACAAAATATTTCTACGTTCAGAATTTGAAATTCAACAAAATATTTCTACGTTCAGAATTTGAATTTCGACAAAATATTTCTATATATATACAGAATTGGAATTTCAACGAAACATTTTTATATATATTCAGAAGTTGAATTCCAGCAAAATATTTCTGGAGCACATAAAACTGATACACTTAAGATTAAGAAACTGTATAAAAAAATAAAAGGTCAACATTTTTTGGGTTCAGTGAATCCAGTCAAGTGATATTGTAGCTTCAGTGACAGAGCACCCACCAACCACCCACGGAGCACCAGGCTATAGAGGGGTCAGACACAACAGGAACACTATTAATAAAGATTTGTTATCTTTACTCTGATTGGCTAGTTTTGATTCTGGTAGTTGATAAAATAGTCTGAGTGTGGTCACATCAAGGCTAGAAAACACGTTTGATGAAATTAAAACATACTTTTAAAAAAAAGACAACAAACTCAAGGTAACATGTACTCTGTTTTAATCATTAAAAAAAAATTATTGGAAGATGTTAATTGTTATTGAGTACAAAAGAGTAAATCATATCTAGAAAGAAGCAAGCTTTCATAAAGAACTACATGTACTTGTAAATACCTTTGCTCTTGAGAATATGTGTCACGACGTGGTGGAATCAAGCGCTCGTCAATTTTTGGGCATGTGGGGGTATTGGTATTGTCATAAAGCCTTTTTATTTGCCTTTATTTTGGTGAAATAATATCCATGTTGAATAGAAGTCGAAATATTTGCGATTGAAGAAAGTCAGGGTCGCTTGGTTTCAGAGGTAAAAATAGCGTGAAAATACAGCCAAAGTTTGTTAACTTCCATAGCCTGAGAGTCCTTGGAAACTGATGTACTACGTGTCAAGTAGATTCTGGTTTGTTCAACAAATGAATGTTTTATAAAACAAAATTTTTAAAAAGAATTTTTGTTTAGCTTAATGCCAACCTGACATATTTACTCAGTCGGCTGCCTGGATTCGCAGCCTTTGTACAAGTTTAAAGAATGTGTACAATCTTTAAAACATTATTTTTCACTATCATATTTTATATATATGCAAAACGAAAGACCAATCTTTCCCCTTTTTTCATCGATATTCATCTTTATGTTGTTCTCGATCCAGATGTGTATATATATATATCTTTAAACTGATTGCTTGAAGAAGATTTCCATGATAAGCTGTAAAGGTAACCCCTGTATTGGCCAAAAACAAAAAAGGTAATGCTCTCTGCTATAGACCATAGAGCCGAGGAGAGGAAGTTGAAAACAGTGCACACATTAGTATTAGTCTCAATATTGTGTTTTTAGTTGAAGGTGATGTTTATTTCAATAAGATAACCACTCAAGCTTAAAAAATAGAGTAAAATAATGTCAGTTCACTAAGATATGATAAGACGCAACAAGCAGTAAATGTTCTTCGTCATTCCACTATTTTGTCTCTACTCCCAATGAGGGTCACATGGCAAATCATGGTTGGATGCAAGAATCTGAACAAATTTCATTTTGTTCTTTGTCGTATTGGAGTCTTGCACCCAGTCATTGAAATGAAGCCCCCTAATCACATAAATTTAGACAACAAAACAAAACAAAAACCATATAACTCACAAAGAATTTAGATGAGGAAGGGGTAGACACTATGTGTGCCTTCTATCCCTGTAGGACAAAGGCGTAGAAAAATATAGAAAGCTTTTTATTGCAGTCATGAAACACTGTCACATAGTTAATTAAATACATTAGATGGAAACAAAACAGCAGGCTACCTCAAGTCAGCGCCTCATCATATTCCAAGAACATTATTTCATTGTAGAAAAGTGAACACGATATATATATTGTTAAATAAATCAACATCACAAAGACACACTTGCAGTAAAAAGCAAAAAGTAATCTCTTAAAAACCGACCTCAGATTCCCTGAGAGTATGGTTACTTTTAACAATAACACACATCTAGTTCCTGGCAGTATTGTTAGGGCAGCTTAACCCCAAGATTTATTTAACTCTTTAAACCCCGTCCGGCGGTAAAAACCCTGTTCCCCATCAGTATTCCTGAACCAAGTTTTTTTTAGTAAAGACTAAACCTTTGTTTCTGCCATTCAGAAGTTGGAGGCAAGCTTTTTGAGTTATAATGAGACATGGTGCACCAGGTTTAGGTGACTGTAGAAAAAACTCCGGGAAACAGTGGAAAAAACTCAGGGTTTAAAGAGTTAATAATATACTAAACCATTAGACCATACACTCTGACATGCTTCAGGTTCACAATGGAGCGCACCAAGTGACTCAATTTGAGCCAAATGAAGGGCAAGGGGGAACAGTGCTGTGTGAACTCAATTCTTATACCAAGACGGGTGTGTGCACTCAATTCTTATACCAAGACGGGTGTGTGCACTCAGTTATTATAGCAAGACGGGTGTGTGCACTCAATTATTATAGCAAGACGGGTGTGTGCACTTGACTATAGTGAGATGCGTTTTGTCCTTCACTTGGCCGTATTGGCAACACCCAAGGTGAGCCTGCTTGGCAGCAAAGGTTTTACCAAGAGTGAAGAGTGGGACCATGACAGTGTGAGGTCTAGAGGTATAAGTCTAAGACTTCTCCACACCCTGTATAATTGTCGACTATGATGAGCTGTATAAAATCAAATAAATAATAAACGACCACATATTGTATTGTAACTAGCTTTGTGGGAGTTATTGGTGACTTTGACAGTTTCACAACCTGAGTCTTCTGTTTCTTCACTTTGGTGAGATACATGATGATATAGACACATGGTCACACAGACACATAGACACATGGTCACATAGACACAGCATCATATGGTATATAGTCACATGGTCACATAGACACAGGATCATATGGTATATAGACACATAGACACATGGTCACATAGACACAGGATCATATGGTATATAGACACATAGACACATGGTCACATAGACACAGGATCATATGGTATATAGAAACATAGACATATGGTCACATAGACACAGGATCATATGGTATATAGACACATAGACACATGGTCACATAGACACAGCATCATATGGTATATAGACGCATAGACACATGGTCACATAGACACAGCATCATATGGTATATAGACACATAGACACAGGATCATATGGTATATAGACACATGGTCACATAGACACAGCATCATATGGTTATAGACACATAGACACATGGTCACATAGACACACCATCATATGGTATATAGACACATAGACACAGGATCATATTGTTTACAGACGCATAGACACATACACAGAATGGGTCCTTGTTGAAGCATGAAAAAATATGGCAATAGGCCTACATTTGATTTGAAAAATACAAAAAAAGTCTCAACAGAAAGCATTTTCAATTTTTGAAACATCAAATCACCAGCAGAATGAGGCAGAATATGTTTTGAGTAAGCACAGACTCAAATTAGAAATCTCCAGTTGTACTGTGATGTGGGAAAAGCAGGAAACAAGTTGTCGGAGATGCTAAACAGTAACAATTATTTTGTATCAATTCCTGGGGAAAGTTGTTGCAATTGTACTGACTCAATTTAAACCCCAACACACCTGGAACAAAAAAGTAGAAACAAACTACAGGACAGAACAGAATTATATGGCTCTACCACGGTGTATAGATGTATGTCTGCCTTAGTTGCAACAGAAACATGGTAAAAAGTCAATAGAGTAACAAAATAAATCGTTACCAAAGTAAAACGAGAGAATCAGAAAGTCTGTCTCACGTCCAGCATGATAAACTCTCCTTTACTTGGCCACTCAACACCAGGTGTCATGAGTGTACATCAATAGCTTGGACATAATTGGCCAACTATGTTATAACACATCAAGGTCGTAACGAGACCTTCTTGTAAATAAACAACTTCCTTTACTATTCATTCTCACAGAGGTCTTGTGTTTGTTTGTGAGCACATTTCATAATTATTCGTCAAGCTATACTATAAGCATAGCCAGAACGTAACACCAGGCACCTTGCATGCCCTCTATTTCCTCGTGTCATCTCACGCTGGGCAGGTGAAGCTGTCCATTACGTACCTTACACCACGTTAGGACAGTTGTTGCTACGTTCACAAGGATTTGAGAAGAAGAATAGGAAGGAAAAAATGTAACTAAGAAGAATTGTAACACTGGAAAGTAGTCAAAGGTGTAGACTCCACCAAAAAAGAGCAAAGAAACAATCTGCTAATATAGCAGTTGCTTTGCCGTTATAATCGTAACTAAATACACCTCAGAACTAATTGATCGTTGTGATTTACCGTACATTGTACAGGTCATTCTGAATCTGTTCTCCTACAGTTTGGTTTGTAGAAGCATAGATTAGAGGAAAAGCTATACGGGCCGACAGATGAACTGAGCAGAACGGCCCAATATATCAATATTAAAAAGATACCGCACTTCAAGTGTGATGTGATCGAGAAGAAGAAGGAGATCAGTAGGACAGTCAGTCTGTCTGAAAGTGGTGTGTGGTGTTGATTACAGGGAACTTCAGTCCTCTTTAAATACAACCTGTGACACATGTATCATTTACAACCTCTGTCCTCTATACATACAACCTGTGACACATGTATCATTTAGAACCTCTGTCCTCTATACATACAATTGTGTCAAGGCATGGAGGGATCAGGCGCTTGTCAATTTATGGGCATGTGGAGTTATCGGTATTTTGTGAAAGCTTATTCATTTGTTTTGCTTTCAGTTTAAAAAATATGCATCTACCTTGAATAAAAGTCAAGATATTCACGATTGAAGGAGGTGAGGTCGTCTGGTTTTAGTGATCAAATTAGCGAGAAAATGGCATCCAAAATTTGGTTGGCCTTATTCCAGTCCTTGAAAACTGAAAAAATGATATTTTGTGCCTTTAATCAACGTTTTTCAGCAAAGTTAAAAAAGAAATATGTTTTAAAAGGATTTGAGTCAAAAAACAAAAATTCGCTAAAAATTGCCTAAATGGCCGAAAAGTGCCTGTTTCTCCGATTTCGTTATTTTGACGAGCGCCTGATTTCACCATGATGCCTCACAATTGACGACACATGTATCATTAAAGACCTCCGTTCCATTGAAATGCGGCTTGTGATATGTAGGTCATCATCCATGAACCGGGTCACCCTGAGTCAGGGTGTGCGGAAAGCCACATCAAAAGAAGCACTGGTTCCCGACACGTTTGGCCGGCCGCCCGTCCCCGACCAGTTTGCTGAGGACCTGCGTCTTGCTCTTGAACAGATCTATGTTCAGGTAACAGCCCTGGTCGCAAGTGGGAACAAGAAAAAAAAAACAAACTCTGAAACAATTACCATTTCAGCTCTGTATCGCTACTGCCAAGAACTTTTTCAGATGCCATGGATGTGAGTGAAAATTCCTGCATAGCATCAGAGAGAGAGAGAGAGAGACAGAGAGAATAGAGCTTTAAAAAAAAGCTTCATACGGACATAAAAGTTTGACCAATTAATTTTTAAAAGAGAGTAGACCAAAAAAAGCTTCAACATACAGACATAAAAGTTTAACCAATTAATTTTTTTAATCACCAGGAAAAAAGTTTTGGAAAAATTCCAGACATTACTTTCATTCCTTGCCACAACAGGTCTCCATCTTCCCCAGTCTCTGTTTGACGTATCATTTCAAGAAGTTGTAGACTACTGTTGGATTTAAACATTTTAAATCTTCTTCTTCTCGATTGCATCACACTTGAAGTCCGGTATCTGTCATGTATTGGGCCATTCTGCTCAGTTCATCTGTCGGCCCGTATAGCTTCTCTTGTGGCATCAGCGGGGTTGGCCACGTTTCCTGTCTCAGGGCCCTGTGTGTCTTGCAGTGCTGAAGGATGTGTGTGTGTGTGTGTGTGTGTGTGTGTGTGTGTGTGTGTGTGTGTGTGTGAGTGTGTTTCCTGTCTCAGGACTGTGTGTCTTGCACTGCTGAAGGATATGTTCCACAGTTTGGTCCCCTTCTCAACACTGGCATTTTGGTGATTGTACTAGTTTTCAATGTATCAAGTACAAAGTCTTCCCTTATTTCTCTTTGCCTCTATTGTGTCCTGCAGCACAGTTGTCACCTCTGTTTCTGTCTGAGTCCCTATCTCTCTATACAAGCATATCGTCGGTGACACAGTGTTTGGGTGGGTGGTCACTGTCCTTAACCCTATCCGTACGCCCTGGGGTATTTTTGTACCCCCAGGGTTGTGTTCGTCACATTTTAGAATACCTAGTATGAAAATCTCTTTGAAACTTTCAGTATTTCTCAAAAAATAATTTTGACAGACTGCTATGCAAAGCGTATGGGTCGGATTAACGAGTAAATTTCCTCTTTGGAAAGTGGTCGCACAGAGTTTCCCAACGTTGTATGGATACGATAGTCAAACACGACGTACGGATAGGGTTAAGCAAGACACAAAAGCCCTAGCTAGAAATACAGGGCGTTGCCCAGTGGCAACCAACAATGGCTAGTGTGTAGTACGTACGTATGTTATGTTATGTTATGTTATGGTATGGTGTGTGCGTGTGTGTGTGTGTGTGTGTGTGTGTGTGTGTGTGTGTGTGTGTGTGTGTATAGGTATGTACGTATGTATGTGTGTATGTATGTGTGCGTGTGTGTGTGCGTGTGTTTGTGTGTGTGTGCAAGCGTGCGTGCGTGCGTGCGTGTGTGTGTTACCAGATTTCCCTGCGCAGATCAGTAAAAGTAAAATTCATTTATAAATTATTATTTTATGACAAATAGAAACAGTGGTACTTACCTTGAGATGCCGCATCCCTCCATTAAGAGTAAAGTGATCCCGCCCGTGTAAAATCCGCAGGTTGTTAAATATAACAAGGTCTCCTGGTTGCAGTCGGTATCTCAACTACAAAGAAAAAAAAGACAAAAGATTTTAAAAACTCATTTCCCATTTTTGCTTATAAAAGTCTATCAGCATATAAGACACATACAAATCGTTTCCAAGACGGAAAACTACATCGTCAATCGAGTGATGATGAACAAAGGAGACAAAAGGAAAGAAGGCAGTGACGAGGCAGCACAAAAAAAAGTAACACATGCACACGCCGAGCAAAGACGTTCATATCTGTTATTTGACCACTAGAGCTGTGAAGTGGGTCTGTGAAACCCCATTCTGCTGGGGGGGGGGGGCACTTATTTTATTTTTTGCTGAAGCTTCCACACCACCTCAGCTAAATCTTACTGGAGACCACATAGATATCAACATCAACAGTCCTACTGCTAAAATGTGCTGAATGGGGTAAAAAAAAAAAAAGAAGCCATTCCGTTCTCTACTTTAGGCCTACTGATTCATTCTCCTAACAAATAAGACTTTCTCCTTTACAACCTTTTGGCAGTAAAAACGTAAAACTTGAGATTAGTGAAAATTATTGCACCAAGAAAAGTCTGACAATTCATAGTATTATTATACTTTAATGATGTCTTGTGATAAAAGTCCCCAATGTGCTGTGAATACTCAACAACATTGACAAACATTGCCAACCTGTATTACAACAGATTTATAACTGTTTTCACAGTCCTAAGATTTGCGTTCATCACATACCATGTGGGCAGATTCAGCCAAGGCCTTTGCAAACATTTCATACGCCCTGTAGTAGTTTTCTACATCTTCCTGTGGACGGATGGAATCAAAGCATACGTGGTACAGTACATCTAGGACTATTTACAGTCTTTTTTTAGCAGTATTTGGTAATAGTAATAATGATTTAATAATAATAATATAATAATAATAATGATAATAACAATAATTATGATAATAACAATGATAATGATAATGATGATGATGATAATATTTACTTGTCCCCCATAAACTGATGATGACCTTTAACTTCCGAGGAGGAAGAGAAGTCGGTTGCTCACGTAGTAAAGAGAGTAGAGATAACATCGTAACTGATAACATAACAAATTTTATAACACTCCTCAGATTTTGTTGTTGCTAAAAAGTACACCATAACACGAAGACACAAACATGTAGAACATAAACAGTTGAACCTGCTTTAATAACCTATATGTACAACAAAATCACTCATACAAATGGCCACTTCCCACTTCCCCCATAGCATTTTTCCAACACTAGGACAATATTGTCCTCTTAGAGAACCACCTGTCTAAGACGATTACATTTGTGAGACAGCGTGGTGAAATCAGGTGCTCGTCAAAATAATGAAATCGAAGAAAATGGCAGTTTTCTTTCCATTTGGCAATTGTTGTCGAATTTTGAATTTTTGACTCATCACCTTTTATGTCCATTTAAAAACAATTTTTTATGTGGCTTTTACTGAAAAAAGATAATTAAAGGCACAAACAATGTAAATTAACAGTTTTCAACGACTCGCAAGCTTTGGAAGACACTAAATTTTGGCGGCCATTCTCTCTCTTATTTTACCTCTGAAAACAGGTGACCCCCACCACCTTCAATCCAAAATATCTCGACTTCTATAAAAGATAGACTGATAATTTTTTCATTGAAAGCAAGACAAATGTTGTTGTTGTTGTTGTTTGTTGTTCTCCTTGATGATAGGCGATCGTTGCAGACAGATCTGACTGCATTTACGACAACATACAGAAACACTTAAAATATGCTTTCATAGATCTGTTCAATCAAAATAACAAAATCCTTCTTTCTCTAATACTCACAGCAGCAACGGCAAGAGGACCTTCAAATGGCGGAGCCCAATACACAGCAATCACCTTGAGAAAGTAGGAAAAAAGTGTGGAGATGTAAATCTGAATCAATCATTTATAAATAAAACAATTATAAAAAATGTTATTTAACCCCCACCCTCACAAACAAACCAAACAAATAACTTTATCCCCCCCCCCCCAAAATGCTACTGAAGAGTGCGTTTTTTCGACTTATGTACATTTGAATTTACCATCTTATTAGAGTGAAAATGACCAAAACAACCCTGATAATGCTGAAAAAAAATATCTTGTTCGAAATCAGTGTATTTTTACAAAATCTTACTCATGACATAAGCTTTTGTAACTTTTGCAGCGCCCGCTGACAAATTTGTAGTTTCAAATTCTGATATTTTAACTATCACTTAATTAAGGTCATATATATATAGCAAAATAACCCTCAAGAGTCAAAGGTCAAGCAACAAGACACAGTAGATACCGCTTAGCTATCACCACCACCACAACACATCGACCCAGGGGAACCCAGCTTGCCTTGTGACTGCTACGTTTAGGAAACTTTCCTCCACCTGCTCTTCCATTATATCCCAAGCATAAAAGACATTCTGAAACAAATTTCAGCCGAACCTTGTTCATGTCCAAGATCCCCCCCCCCCCCCCCCCCTCCCATGCTTTTTAAATAAAATATGTGAGACGTTCTGACAAAATGAGTTACTTCTCGAAAATCCATGCATGGAGATATGGGAAGAAAATCAACGCAACACAAAGGTCATATTTATAGATTCTAAACCAATGCCATTCTCTTCAAGCTTGACATGTCTTTTATTTCAGACTAATAAACTGTAAAAACTAAACCTACAAATTTGACGCATCTATTTCCATGAGGCTAAAATGTGAGAAGTAACTCATTTTGTCAGCCCGCCTCACTCTTCTTTTTTCTTCTTCTCATTCATCTATAAACGAACATCCCAGTCTCTAGTGTGAAAACTGCTGCTCACCACAGATCCTCCAGGCCCCCCCCCCCCCCACCCCCCATCCCCATAGAGTTTTGCGTCTCTCTGCCTAGGGTTGGACCAATATTTCTTTTTTCTGTAAAACTAAAATGGCAGCAATGTCCATGAAGTCTACCTGTCTAACACAACCCCTTTTCTCTTCAACAGTGGGCGGCTGTCTTGGGAAATATCAACTGTTCTTCCGTTCTGTCTTGACTTCGACTTCCTCCTCAACATTACGCTACAGAACGACGTAATATACGTGCACTGGTGGAGCAGTGGCGGGTAACAACATGACAAATACATAGCCGCTGTGACCACAAGGACCTGCAGCTGTTGTCTCTAAGATTTACGAGAAGACCGTAGAAAAATTAAAAGAGAAAAAAACAAAATATGAAAAATAAACAAAGCCTTCGCTCAGAGCTCAGACAAGTAAGGGACAGAGCGCTATATAAAAGCAATCTATTATCATGATCATCATTATTATTATTATTATTATTATTATTATTATTATCATTACCTCACCAAGATGATTCAGCTTAATATGGGGTTTTTGATTCACTATATGGACAGGATAGTCTCTGGAAAGGAAGCAAATATATAATTTAACTACATCATGTGTTTATAACATCGGCATGGCCACAAGGTACATACAGTACAGATAGACAGTCAGTGTTCATTTATAATGTATGAGGCATCGTGGTGAAATCAGGCGCTCGTCAAAATTATGAAATAGAAGAGACAAGCATTTTTCCAACAGTTTGGTAATTTTTATTGAAATTTTGCTTTTTGGCTAAACACCTTTTATGTTCATATAAAAACACATTTTGGGGGAATTTTACGGAAAAAACTTTGTACTTGTACAAAGGCATAAAATATGTATTTTCAGTTTTCAATGACTCTTAAGCTATCGAAGTTACCAAACTTTTGTGGCCATTTTCTCATTAATTTAACAACTGAAACCAGGCTACCCAACCTTCTTCAATTGCAAATATCTCAAACTCTATTCCAGCTAGATGGATATTTTATTTCATTGAAGGCAAGGTAAATAAATCAGCTTTCAGATGATACCAATAACCCCACATGCCCAAAAATTGACGAGTACCTGATTGCACCGTGTTGTGACACATATATCGTACATCATAATCCTTATATGTAGGCAGATAAACACACCGCTTTAGGAACAAGAAAGGCATGGGATCTGTGGCATAACTTGTGTTCATTACAAGTTGATTTTTATTATTTCTTTTACTATGCTCTCCTCCCCGTGCTAACTACCTGCAGTGGGTAACAAGGTCTGTAACTTCTATGCGGCCTTGGATGTTAAATGTCATCATCAGTTCGTGATAAACAAACTATTATTATTATAATTTTTCTTCTTCTTCTTCCTCTTCTTCTTCTTTTTCTTCCTCTTCTTCTTCTTTTTTTTCCTCTTCTTCTTCTTCTTCTTCCTTCTTCTTCTTCTTCTTCTTCTTCTTCTTCTTTTTCCTCTTCCTCTTCTTTTTCCTTTTCCTCTTCTTCTTCTTCTTCTTTTTCTCCTTCTTCTTCTTCTTCTTCTCATCAATAACTAATCATTGACAGCTTAAAAATAAAAGAGTTACAGCAGCATATCATCAAAACGTTGAAAAAAAAACGAAAAAAACCCTGAAATCTGCTAAAATGTATTTTTGACCATTTATTGTGTAATTATGTACATACTAAATGTATGCATTTATGTATGTACGTACTTATAATTATTGTGTATTTATGTATGTAAATGTATGTTTCCCATTGTAAACCAAAGTGCCCTTCCAGGACAAATAAAAGTGTGATTCACTTTACTTTGACTAATTTTGACTAATGAGGTGGAGCTGAAATAGAACAGTTTGACATGTTGGCTGAGAAATAACACAAGTTTCTGACTACCTGTCACCAGTCACAGCCATGAGAGTCACGCAAATCCCTTTTCACATCCATTTGCACACTCCTCCCTAGCTTTAACACTTTGTAGTCACACAGCCAGCAGTACAAAATACCCCTTCTGGTCACACAGCCAGCAGTACAAAATACCCCATCCGGTCACACAGCCAGCAGTACAAAATACCCCTTCTGGTCACCCAACCAGAAGAGCGACTGCAACGGACTTCTTCGGAAATGCGCCAGGTGACCAGAACGGATAATTTTCACCGGCGCATTTTTGCGTCAAGTGACCGCAAAGTGTTAATGTCTGCAACGATAAGGTCCTCAAGTCCACCTTAGGTGAACTCCCCTTATATGAAGATCTAAACATCAATTTGTTGTTGTTGTTGTTGTTGCTGTTGCTGCTGTTGTTATCAATCCAGCAACTTCCGGGCCCTCGCCCTTCTGTCCAGTGCCATGTAGTGATAAGTGCAGGTCAATTTAAGACCCTACTTTTGTAGACCCATACATTGTCATATAGACCACTTTTGCACTGCTCTATGTGGGCCAACGTACCTGTCATAATGCACTTTCTGGAAAGTTGCCGGTACTTTGGTCAGGGTATCGAACAGATGCGGGTACTCTGCTCTGAACTCATCGACAATGGAGAAAACATCGAGGAAAACACTCTCCCCTCCCTCAACTTGTTGATCAAATCTGAAATACAGTAAAAATGATGAAATGTCTTAATTAAATAAGACCATAAATGGAAAAGGAGAAAGTTTGAGGAAAAAAAAAAAAAGGTTTGATCCTCAGAAAAACCAGCACAAGAGACTAAAACAAAATGTAAATTAAAAAACAGGATAAATAGCATTCCAGCAAACATAACAAGTTTTGCAGAATGCTATTTCTTAACTCTTTCTAAAAGCAGATTTAACCATTTCCATTCAAACAATGTTGAAACAAAAACTCATGATAGTAACATTTCTATGGCAACTATACAGATGACCCTGTATAAATTTGGTAAGCCATCCATCCTTGCCACACCCAACTTAGAACAAGAAAGGATTTTACAGTTTTGTTTCTTTTGCCAAACAGTTCTGCTGTTCGTCAACATCTTCTTTCCTTCCGTCTGCCTTTTCTTTTGTCTAACGTGTCATATGGCGTCGGTGGCCTAGTGGTTAGGCTCTCGGTTTCGCAACCGTTAGGTCGTGGGTTCGAATCCCGTCAGGGACCCGACGTTGTGTCCTTGGGAAAGGTACTTTACATGTATTTTCCTCTCTTCACCCAGGTGGGAATGGGTACACGGCTATAGACAGCGAAAGATCTTGTCAGTTTGTTAGTGTTTGAGCGCTTAAACAGATGCTATTTATTATTATTATTATTATTAACGGGGGCAAATTGTTCTCCCTTCTAAATGATCTAACCGTAGAAAGGAAAACCTATACAAAACCAAAAGCTGAGTTCTTTTATCAGATTAACTTCTGTCTGTCCCTTAGCTAGACTTACTTCTGTCCTTTTGTCAGACTGGTGGGTGGTTGACGGGTGCTCTGGTGTGGTTTGCTCCCTCTTTCCTACAAACATCTATCGTCCTTCTTTTTTGTGTTTGTTACTCTCTTGCAAGACCTCTAATCTTCGGCATTTATATGACCTTATTGTATTGCAAGTGCTGTAAAACATTTACTAAAACAAACAGTTTGTGTCAAGACTCACTTCTCTCAGTTTGTCAGACTTATCTTTTATCCCAGTGTGTCAAACACACTTCTCTCAGTTTGTGTGGGACTTCTCTCAGTTTGTGTGGGACTTCTCTCCTATTGACAAATTCACTTGTCTTAGTCTGTGTGGGACTTAATTTTGTCTCAGTTTGTGTCAGACTCACTTGTCTCAGTTTGTGTCAGACTCACTTGTCTCAGTTTGTGTCAGACTCACTTCTCTCAGTTTGTGTCAGACTCACTTGTCTCAGTTTGTGTCAGACTCACTTGTCTCAGTTTGTGTTAGACTCACTTCTCTCAGTTTGTGTCAGACTCACTTGTCTCAGTTTGTGTCAGACTCACTTGTCTCAGTTTGTGTCAGACTCACTTCTCTCAGTTTGTCAGACTTACTTCTATCCCCATGTCAAACCCACCTGTCTTAGTCTGTTTGGGACTTACTTTTCTTACTTTGTGTGTGGGACTTACTTGTCTCAGTTTGTCAGACTTATGTTCTATCCCTGTGTCAAACCCACCTGTCTTAGTCTGTTTGGGACTTACTTGAGACAATGCAGCAGCTGTAGGCCCGGCGGAGACTCAAAGTAGACCAAGTCCATGTGTAAGTCAAGGTGCACGTTGGTGTAGGCCACGTTGATGGCGTCTGGCATAGCCTCCACGTCGAAAGTCTGAGAGGAGAGAAAGATTTGTGTGTGCAGCGGGATGACCTGTTCTGACTGCCATCTGTCTAAGACAATCACTTGTACAAACAAACACTTTCAACTTGTTGTCTTCTTTCTACTTTACACTGACATCATCCAAGACAGCCATCTGTCAAAGACAATCAGCTGTACAAAAGACCACTTCCGACTTGAGTCTTTTAAAATCTGAGATCTTAATTCTTTGCCATATCGACAGGCTGAAGGGCTACAACTCAAATGGCCGCTGGATCGGAAAAGTAAAGTAAAGTGATTAAAAATCTGAGGAGTCCACGTGGAAAATGGGAATAGTCACAAACTGAAAATTGTGAGAGTATCAATTTGGGACGCTTGTTGACTCATAACTGTATTTCTGTTCAACTGTTGGTTGATTATTGTTGTTAGATTTCCCATCCAACAACTCTTAACAATAAACACCGGTCAATCAAACATAAAGTTATGGGTCTGCAAGCTTTTAAAATTGACACCCTCACAATTTCCACTTTGTGACGGCCCGTTTTTTCTCCTGGACTCCTCTCATCTGCTTTATAACGACATTGTCCACCTGTCTAAGACAACCACTTTTCTCCTAGACAATGGGTAGGGCCATCTTGGATAATTTCAACTGTATTTGTGTACATTATAAACATTCACTCTAATCGATATGTCAGTCATCTGCTGACATATGGTGACTATCTTCAGCTTCCATGGCTTTTGACCTGGCTTGTTTTGCTGACAAAACCTGTCACTTTTTTTGCAATATTTCAAAGTCTCTCAATTTCAATAGGCTATTTTTTCTACATTATCAACTACATTCCTCATTTATTCAACAATGATACATTTTCTTAAATCAGAACGATGGTCGAACCCGATCCAATGGTCACCTGTCTAAGACAATCACCTTTACAAACGACTATCCCCCCCCCGTGCATTTTTTTCGACCTTATACATCAACCTCAACCTGTTTAAGACAACCACGTTTCTCCTTGACAATAGGTGGCCAGGTTGGACAGTTTCAAATGTATTTAGATTACAAAGACACAGCACACCACAGGTACTTACATATCCGTAGATTCCTTTGGATACCGGGGCTATCAATTCAGCAACCTGATTGATAAAAAAACCCAAAATTTTTCCCTATAGTTTACAGGACAAACACTGTTTATAAGTTATTTCATGAGTTATTCAAGAACAAAATCCTATTAACAGACTTGCAGCTAAAGTTATTGGAATTAAAACATAAAACCAGATGAAACTGCAATAAATCAGTAAGTATTAAATGTATGTGTCGCAAGGAGCACAAATCAAATTAAGAGTTTGAATTAACAAATTAAGAAAAAGACTGGACATTTGAGGTTTGTAAGAGTGTTTTATTCTCTATGAATAAAACACTGGAAAGGCAAGAGTCTTCTAAAATTCCGTCAGTAGGCTACCCTAGAGCACTTCACTGGTGCTTCAAAGCTCAAAGATTTGGGGACATCCTATGATACAAAAAGAAAGAAAGTTACTGAGGATCAGATGGACAGACAGGGTCACCAATGTGGAAGTGTTAAGGAAAACAAGACAGATCCCAGTCAGAGATGAGATAGGAAGAAGGCGGTGGCGATGGATAGGACATACTCTCAGGAAGTCAGGCAGCTGCATAACAAAGAAAGTTTTGGATTGGAACCCACAGGGCAAGAGATCAAGGGGAAGACCTCGTGGAACCTGGAGAAGAATCCCAGAAATCGATGTACAGAAAAGTGGGATGACATAGAATATCATCAAGAGGCTAGCCCAGGATAGAGAAAGGTGGAAGGTGTTTGTCTGTGGCCTATACCCTGGAGCAGGGTGAGAAAGGCAATGATGATGATGATCATTAGCAAAAAGTAAAAGTATTGAGGGAGTATACTTGACTTATTATTAGCAAAAGTAGAAGTATTCAGGGAACATACATGACTTAACACTAGCAAAAAGTAAAGGTATTGAGGGAATATGCAAGACTTAACACGAGCAAAAAGTGAAGGCATTATTGAGAAAATATAAAATATACCAGACTTAAGACTACCATAAATTACAACCTCATCAATATGCTACAGCTATCACAACATATATTATGTCTCATCTGCTACACCTTTTCAACTCATGCTAGCTTCAACAAATCCATTTTCATTACTTCAAGAACCATGGAATCCTCAGTGGGAACACCTTTCACAATGCTTAAGCCGGCTTCGTTGATCTGCTGCAGCCATCTAGGAAGTCAGAGAAAATTCACAATTGTGTCACGACTCAGTGGAATCAGATGATAAATGAACAGAAAGTGAGATATTTGAGATTGATGGCGGTGGGGTCGCCTGGTTTCAGAAGTAAAATTAGCGAGAAAAATGTCACCAAAGTTTGGTGACTTCCATAGCTTAACAGTCCTGGGAGAAACTGCAAATTTTACTTTTTTTTGTACCTTTAATCAATGTTTTTGCATAAAATTCACACATAAAAGTAAGTGTTTTTGAATGGACATACAAGATGTTGAGCTCCCCCCCAAAAAAATGTGTAAAAACTTTCCAAATTGGCAAAAAAATGTAGATTTCTTGGATTTCATTATTTTGATGAGCACCTGATTTCACTACCCTGCCTCACAATAATATTTTGACACTTAGTACAATCTAAATATGCTTATTCACAACACGATATTGAAAATGAAGAGGAAAAAGCAAGACAAAATGACTTTCTAAACTGGTTATGAGGACTAGTTTTGAAAAACAGTAGAAATCAAATAAAAATAATGGGAGTATAATGAAGACCAACGATTACAATAAAATTCCCAACCAAAAAAATACATAATCCACTTTTAAGGTTTTATAGCATACAACTTGAGACAAAAAGAGAAGTTAAAATTGTATTCGCAGTTATTATTACTAAAGTACAACTCAAACCTACCTAAATGCAGGAGGTTAAATAAGAACTAGAACTATCTCATGAAAATCTCAAAGAGTCTGAATAAAGTTTCAACAAGTGTATACAGATTCTCTCTATACTGAGAGAACACAAATTGACTCACTTCAAAAGTCCTTTCTGAGATGACCTGATTTCATCATATTGTACTGTGGGGATTTCCTGTGAAGTTAAAAAAAGCGTGAGCTCTTATTTATTCTACATTTACTTTTTACTTTTTCATCCTCTGTTGCCCTTAAACTTTTATTTATGCATTCATAATTCTATTTTTTTCACTTGGGCAAAAGAAAAATACAGAGTTACTTACAGGTGTGTGACAGAGTATCCCAGTCACTCAGCCCTCAATATACTGCCTGTGGTTTTGTTTGTTTGAATAAAGAGAAGCACATCGGTACAATAACAGTCATCAAGCGCAAGGATAAAGAAAGAGAGATTGATAAAAAAAGAGAAAGAAGAGAAGTAAGACCAAACACCTATGTCCTACAAATCACCCATAAAAAGTTTGACATAACAGCGACTAATGACACGCACATCTGACATACTCACTGTGACTGACTTAGCACACTTGACGCACACATGTCTGACATACTCACTGTGACTGACTTAGCACACTTGACGCACACATGTCTGACATACTCACTGTGACTGACTTAGCACACTTGACGCACACATG